GGGTGATTGGGCAGAGTCAACATGGCTTAGTGCAATAACATTTTTAGTTCTTTGAGGAGGTAACACACATTGTGGATAAAGGGGAACCGGTATATGTACTGCACTTAGACTTCCAGAAGGCCTTTATTTAGGTGCACATCAAAGTTTCTTACAGAATCTAAAAGTTCATAGTGTATCTTACAGTCATAGAGTCATTCAGCACAGAAACAGACCCTTCAGACCAACCAGTCCATGTCAACCATAATGCCAAATTTAACTAATCTCACCTGACTGCACTTTGCCCATATTCCTCTAAGCATTTCTTATTCATGTACTTATCTAAATGTCTTTTAAACATTGTAACTGTACTCACATCCATCACTTCCTCTGGAACTTCATTCCACACATGGACCACTCTCTATGTAAAAACATTGCCCCCAGGTCTTTTTTAAAATCTATCTCCATTCACCTTAAAAATTATGCCCCGAGTCTTGAAATCCCCCATCCTAGGAAAAAGACACCTGCCTCATTATTTTATAAACCTCTATAAGGTTACCTCTCAATCTCCTATGCTCCCCTGAAAAAAATTCCAGCCTATGCAGAATCTCCTTACAACTCAAACATTCCATTCCTGGTAACGACCTGGTAAATCTCTTCTGAGGCCTCTCCAACTTAATAATATCCTTCCTATAATGGGGATACCAGAACTGGACACAGTACTGCAGAAGTGGCCTGACCAACGTCCTGTACAACCTCAACACGATGTCCGGACTCCTGTTCTCAATGGTCTGAACATTGAAGGCAAGTGTGATAAACACTTTCTAAACCATTCTATATATGATCCAAATTTCAAATAGTTATGCACCAGAGCCCCTAGGTTTCCCTGTTCTACAACACTGCCCAAGGCCCTACGTTTAATTGTATAAGTCTTGTCTTTGTTGGTTTTATTGGCATAGACAGAAGATTAGCTGGCTAACAGGAACTACAAAGTGGGCATAAATGGGTCTTACTCAGGTCAGTAAGATGAAATAAGTGGTGTGCCACAGGGATCGGCACTGTGACCTTAACTGTTCCCAATTTATATAAATGACTTAGATGAAGATAAGGAAGATACTATCGCAAATTTACTGAAGGAACAAAAATAGGAAAGACATCAAGAAGCGACATAAGTTACAGATAGGATAAGTTGGAAAAGTGGGCAAAGATGTCACAAAATGAGCATATATGAGAAAATGTGAAACTGGTCTTTTTGGCAGGAAGAATAAAACGAAGCACTCTATTTAAATGATGAAATATTTCAAAACTCTGAGATACAGAGGGGCTTGGATGTTGTCATGCATAAATCATTTCGGGACATGTTCTCTCTCAGAGGGTTATGAATCTTTGGAATGCTTTCCCTGACAAAATGGTGAAAGCAGAGTTCTTGAATACTTTTAACTCAAAGGTGAACGGATTTTTGTTAAGCGAGAGGTAGGCAGTTACAATCAGATTAGCCATAATCTTATTGAATGGTGGAGCAAGTTCAAGACGCTGCTGTTGCTCCTAATTTTAATGTTCCTTTGTATGTTAGAGAAATTAAAGCATTTTCTACTTGCTACAGCATTGCACATCCCTGCACAAGTCCAACATTAACCACCTAATACAGGCATAGAGTCATAGCGTCATACAGCATGGAAACAGACCATTCGGCCCAAATTGTCCATGCTAACCAGGTTTCCTAAACTGAACTGGTCCCACTTGCCTGTGATCGGCCCATATCCTTCTAAACCATTCCTGTCTATGCACCTGCCCAAATGTTTTAAATGTTATAATTTTACCCACCTCTACCACTACCTTTGGCAGCTTATACCATTTGCACCACCCTCTATGTGAAAATTTTGCCCCTCAGGTTTCTTTTAAATCTTTCCCCTCTCTATCACCTTAAACCTATGCCCTCTAGTTTTGGACCATGGGGAAAAGACATTGACAAATCACCCTATCTATGCCCCTCATGATTTTATAAATCTCTGTAAGGTCACCCCTCAGCCTCATATTCTCCAGGCAAATAACAGTTCTAGCCTATCCAACCTATAGCTCAAACCTCCAGTCTCGGTAACATCCTCATAAATCTTTTTTGGGCCCTTTCGAGTTTAATAACATCCTTCCTATAGCGCACAAAAGAAAAAGGAAGCTACATCTCTAGAGCATCCTTAAAATGTTGATGGCTTCCCAAAATGCCTCACAACTGTGAAATTCTGTTTTAATTGTTGTCTCTCTTACAAAGCCAAGCAGAGCAGTCAGTGTGCATAGAGTAAGATCGCACAAGAAGTAAATAACAATTACTAGGCAATACAATTCCGATGGTGTTAGTTGTGAGATAAATGTTTGATCCAAATATTGGAAGAACTCCCTAGCTCTTCTTCAAACAATGCCATGTCATCTCTGGTGAGCAGGCAGGTAGGACCTCAGTAGAACATTTCACCTGAAGGTCTGCATGTCAGATAATGCAGCATTCTCTTGTGTGGTCTTTGCAAAATAGATTTGTATCAAAATACTTTCATCCACTAAAATTGCCTAAATATTTTTACAAAACACCGACAAAAATACACACTTGCATATAAATGAGAAGCAGGTGGAGACCATGCAGCCCTCTAGCATGCTTTGCCATTAATAAGATCGTGGCTGGCTTGATTGTTGCCTCAAATCCACATCCCAGCCTAGTCTGATAACCTTTGACTCTTCTGTTAATCAATAATATACCTATGTTTGGCTTATGTTTTATTAATCTGTGCTCTCACCAAACATAGGTTTACATGGAAAAAGGATGCAGCTTCCTTTAGGTTGTTATAGTTGAAAATAAATGACTTGTTTCAAGTCTGGATATGCTGCAGAGTGAGAACAACAAGAGCTTGAATTAAGAGTGTCCTGCAGAGAGCTCGCTGTGTAACTGGGACAGCTCCACTAATCCACCCTTTGCAGTTCAGTACACTGACCCGATTACAATTCTGATTTCTCAATATTCCTGAACCAGAAATGTAATCTTTTACAAGTACCATGCTTGCACTCTACTGCAATGTTTGCTGCTGAATTTTTCAAGACTTGTAAATCCACAACCATTAGATAGATAATCAAGGTTTTCATCATTTGTAGGATATGCCTCACACAAAAAAAAATCCAGAACACTGCAAACTCATCCCGCATTAGGTCATTTTGTCACAGTGAATAATACAGGTGAATTTTTGAGGTGCTTTGAACAACATAATAATTACTTTTAGATGCAAAAGCTGGTACTGTACTGTGCCAATGTTTAGCACTGTTAAAATCAAAAATTAAGTTTAAATGTAAAGAAAAATTGCAGGTGTTTTCTCCATGACAATGCCTCTATGATTAGAGTCTATTTGCCAACCATCCGGCACTCTCTCCTGAGGATCTATTGTATCCGCTGTTCCTGATGTGGCCTCCCCTACATCAGGGAGACCAAGAGGAGGCTTGGAGACCGCTTTGTGGAGCGCCTACGCTTGGTTCACGACAAACAACAACACCTCCCAGTCGCGAACCACTCAACTCCCCTTCCCGCTCCCTGGATGACATGTCCATCCTGGGCCTCCTCCAGTGTCACAACAATGCCACCCGGAAACTAGAGGAGCAGCACCTCATATTCCGCCTTGGGAGCCTAAACCCAATGGTCTCAATGTGGACTTTATTAGCTTCAAAATCTCCCCATCCCCGACCTCATTCCAAGACCAGCACCCCCTCTCATCCCCACATCCTTGACCTGTCCGTCTTCTCTCCCACCTATCCGCTCCACTATCTACCTGCTATCACTGACCCCCCTATTTATTTCAGAGTCCCATTCCCCTCCCCCATTTCTTAAGAAGGAACCCGACCTGAAATGTCAGCTTTCCTGCTCCTCTGATGCTGCCTGGCCTGCTGTGTTCCTCCAGCTCCACACTTTGTTATCTCAAATTCCAGCATCAGCAGTTCTTACTATCTTTGAGGATAAGTTGTTGTTCCCTTTGAGACTTGGTATTCTTGTGAAGAAGTCCCTTTTTCCACACCATTTCTCGCATCTCTATTTTCAACAATACTCAAGTTTTATACTGCCAAGTGACTACTCCTAGCAAAATTTCAGCAGGTGACTGTTTGCAAATCCAGCTTGTTTACACTATGCAACAAAAGAGACCTCTACCATCTTGAAGGACAAAGGCAACAAGCGCATAGAAGTGCCACTAACTGCAAATTCCCTGCCAAGTCACACACCATCCTGGCTTGGAACTGTTAAAAAAAAATGAAAGAACTGTGGATAATGTAAATCAGGAACAAAAGCAGAAGTTGCTGGAAAAGTTCAGCAGGTCTGGCAGCACCTGTGAAGAAAAAATCAGAGCTAATGCTTCAGGTCTGGTGACACTGGACCTGAAACATTAACTCTGATTTTTTCTTCACAGATGCTGCCAGACCTGCTGAGCTTTTCCAGCAACTTCTGTTTTTGGAACTGTGTTTGCTGTTCCTACACTTTCAAGTGGCTCAAAATCTTAGAATTCCCTTCCTTTTTACACTGTGGTGCAAACACCTCATAGACTACAGTGAGCATTAAGTCCATGTCGTGCCAACATTGTTCAAGCCCCATAAGCATTAAATGAAAGGACTGAGAGATCTGTTTCCACATTGTGGCTTCTGAGTATCACTCTGAGAGGATGGCCTCTATGAAGCATTTTAAACACATTTACAGAGGAAGCCATAGTCACTCACGTTTAACTTCTGTTTCTAGGCTGATTGTTTTCTGCATTTTGCATTTTAAGCAAAAGAATGGGGCTGCCAATCTTTCAGAGCTGGATGGCCTCCTATCTGTCCCTCCGCCCACCCCAACATAAGCTATCCAATATTCTTAATTAGTCCGGGGTCTGCCAGGAGTCGCTTACAGTATCCCAATACCAGCATCTCCAGCTTCCAGCCCCCTGGTATCCGGGTGCCTACCCAAAGGGGAAAATACAGCCCCAAAGTCTTTAAACCCACTTTTCAAGAGCAAAATGCAGTGCAAATACCTTTAAAATTGGGTCTAATTCTTGCGTCGTACCCTGATGTCCGTCCCATCAATTTGTCCAGAAAGTCAGATGGAGACATTGCCGGAGCACGAGACCTAGAGCCTTCTATTTCTTTAGTTGTCACCAAGCTGCAAGCAAACACATAGATCTGATATAAATAAGGACACAAGTAGCAATGAATGAAAATGTTACAAATACCAATTTATCTATGGGATTTAGCAGTCTGAAAAGAAAAGTGAATGATTTTAATTGTACTGGATACAGTCATGTTTGCGAGAGGGGTTAAGGTTTCAAGTATCAAAGATTAAAGCCTTGCTTTTCTTGCTTAAGAGGATTTTCAGGAATTGATGAGTGCGCATGTTGCATCCCACATCATTACCAATTAGACACAGCCAACTGTGCAGGCAATGAGAAAAGAGAAAGAGAATAAAAGAGTGAACAGTGTTGTATTTGCACTTCACCTTTTATCACTTTAAGAAGTGGAAAGCATTTTGCAGCTAATGATGTACTTTTGATGCCCAGTCACTGTTGTCAGATCAGTGGAGTTCATCTGATAGCTTGGTGAATTAAGTCAAAGCAATGCCCATTAGGATAGCCCCAGATTACATTCCCAGTGTGTGCTGAGTTCACGCAATTTCAGATAGTACTTTCAGTAGGATTGGTACAGTTGGCCTCAGTGCCTTGGAGTTATTGCATCAAAAATAATACCTCTTGCTAACTCCTTAGTATTTGTCAACTTCTCTTGATGCTGGTATAGGTTGCTATTTGGCTGCAATTTCTCCTTCCCTCCCCTATCTCACTGGTCAACATTCATATTGTCGGCAAGCACCAGAAGTGACCAAATCCTGAAGCCAGTTTCCCAACCTTATTTTAGATCATCCAGGCTCCTTTTTTAAGCACGGTGAGCCAATGTGCCAATGTGATGAGACTCGGGACTCGCTTTGGTGGGTGTTTGAACTATATCTCTAGCCTTCACAGGGACCTAGCAAAGGTAGGCTTATTAAGACCATGCCAGTGGCAAATAGAAGTGGTGGTCGCCAATCTGTCCAAATGACATAGTGATCTAGACACCTTAAAAGGTAATTTAATTTATTTTAATCATTTGCAGATTGTGCAGTTGTGGTCAGATCCAACTCACTCCTGACCATCCAACTGAAAAGTTCTGGCTTTCATCAGGCTTTTGCAGACTTGTGAAATTGGCATCTAGAGTCTAAAGCTAAGGTTCATTAATGTATAAAAAAAAAACCATGGACACTGGAAGCTCTAACCAAAAACAGAAAATACCCAATGGCACCTGTCGAGAGAGAACAGTGTTATTGTTTCATGTCTGTGGCCTTTCATCCGAATCATTCATTAACATAAGTAATAAATCGAGAAAGAAATTCAGAGGAAACGTTTTTATCGAGAGGGTGATTAAAATGTGGGACTCACTAACACAAGGAGGCAATCAGCAGAGATGCAGCTAAGGGGAAGCAAATGGTGGAGAAATGTATAGAAGGATATTCAGATAGAATTTGATGAAGTAGTTTAGGAGGACGATAACCATCAGATTTGACAGGGTGAGCTAAATGACTTGTTTCTGAGCTGTAAATTCGAAGTGTCAAGCACAGTGGAATGTAAATCATCCCTCAGTGTATTTCTGCAAAGATCAATACAGAAAGGAAATGGAGTATTCAGAGCTCTCCTGGATGAGTAAAGCCACAGTAACTTTCGAGAGCATTGGCACCATCAAGGTAAAAACAATTCCCTTTATCAGCAGAACAACGTCTGAATCCACTATTGAGTACTAATATACTCAATTATATTGAATATAACATATTCCTCCACCACTGACATACATTGGCAGCAGTACGTTAGCTCTATGGGATTAAATATAGATTGCATCAGCAGCACTTTCTAGTCTCTATCACCAAGAAACACAAGAACAGCAAAATCACTATGTCAACTGGACATTCCCCATCAATCCTTTATTACAGGCAAAATTCTGTGGATGCTGGAGATCTGAAATAGAACACAAAGTGTTGGTGAAACCCCTGAGGACTGGCAGCTGCTGTGGAGAGAGAAAAACAGTTAACACTCTGAGTCTAATGGTTTTTCTTTGGAACTGAAGTCACAAAAAGTTCAGATTTCAGTTCCGGAGAAGACTTGAAATCTGCTTGTTTCTCCACAGCAGCTGCCAGACATGATGACTTTCTCTAACACAGTCCTGAAGAAGGGTAATATCCGAAACGCTGACTGCTCCTTTCCTCCAGATGCTGTCTGGTCTGTCGTGTTCTTCCAGCCTCCTGTTTGTCCACTTTGGATTCCAGCATCTGCAGTTTTTTTTTGGCTCTAACCGATAACAAAATACAATGCTTTTCTGTGTTCCCACATCCCATAAATAAATGTTTTAAATTGTTGCATTATACAAAGAGTTTGGTTATTAATTTTAATGGGCACAAAATGATGGGTTCCAGATTATAATTTCAGAGCTAGAAAAACCACAAAAGAAAATCTGCCCTGGTAAATAAATCAATCGAAAGATCTTGCATTTAAGAAGCACCTGTCACAACCACAAGTTGGTTCAATCTTTGACAGTCAATGAAACATTTTTTAAGTGGAGTTGCTGTTGCAATGTGGAAGACACAATAATTTTGTTTTTTTCCATGGGAGTGGGCGTTACGGGAAACATTTATTGCATATCCCTAATTGTCCTTGACCTGAGTGGCTCGCTAATCCATTTCAGAAGACAGTGAAGAAACAATCACATCGCTGTTGTTCTGAAATCACAGGAGGGCAGACTACAAAAGGATAGTAGAGTCTTTTGCCAGATCATTGAATGCAATGTTTTTATCTTTTAATGATACCTTAATGGTCACCATTACTGAAACTAGATTTCAATTCAGATTTTATTAACTGAATTTAATTATCACTACCTACCATGGTGGAATTTGAATCCACATCCTTAAAGTGCTAAGCCTGGGGCTCTGTATTACTAATCCAGTCACATTGCCACTGCACCCCCATCTTCCCCAAGGTTGCCTGCGCAAGATCCTTCCAATCCCCTGGGAAGACATATGCACCAACAGCAGCGTCTTTGACCAGGCCAACATCACTAGCATCGAGGCACTAACCACCCTTGATTGGCTACAATGGGCTGAGCATGTCGTCTGCATGACCGACACGAGACTCCCCCGAGCAGGTGCTCTACTCCCAGCTTCGAAATGGCAGGTGAGCCCCAGGTGGATAGAGAAAGCGCTACCCTCAAGGTCTCATTGGTGAAGAGCAACTTCCCACAGACACCTGGGAATCGCTGGCCCAAGACTGTCCAAAGCTGAGGAGAAGCATCCAGGAAAACGCCGAGGACCTGGAGACTTGCTGTCAGGAAGCCAGGTGAAAACAGCGTAAGGAGTGTGCTGTCACACTATCCTCGCCCCTTCCCACGACCACTTTCTGTCCCAAGTGGGGCAGAGCCTGTGGTAGCTGCATCTACGTGTACAGCCAGCTACACAATCACACTGAGGGTGGAAGAAAGTCATCGTCATCTGTGAGGGACCGCCAATGATGATGATGATTGTCCCCAAAATAGACTTGCACAAAGCAAGATCCCAAAGCCAACAACAGTTCAGATCAAGATGTCCAGGTGCTTTGTTTGGTGACATAGGCTGGGGGACGACTGTTCAGATACAACACTTAGGAGAAATTCCCACCTTTCATTTGGAATAGGATCATAAGGAATTTGAAATTGATCTGGGAAGAGAATTAATTTCTTGCCTCGAAAAGCCTTATATGAAAATGGTATCAGTCTCATATACCTGACAATATAGGACCGTGTGACTCACATGCACACTTTAATTGTAAAAAATGTACTTTTGCGAACAATGCATGCACACAGAAACTAGCAAGGTCATTTTTAAGATAAAGACAAGAAATAGAATTTAGTAAGGGGAATATTCACATTGGTAGACTGACAGTGAATATATTGGTTTATTTATAATATTTATACATCAATGAACCTTTTACTTTTTAAATGGCTTTGCTCTTTGTTTCTGTGCCTTGCACTGCACGCACCACTCAAACAGAAATCCTCCAGTCCAATTAAAGGATTTGTTTAAATATTGAATTTGAATTTAAAGAGTTGGAAGGGGAGGGAAGTTTATTGAAGAAGCTCACTTCTCAGTATAGTATCCTTGAAGTGACTTTAGTCTATCTGGTTGATTCATTCCATTGATTTTTTTTTTTGATTTGTCTGTTTTTTTAATGTCCGAATCTGCCTGTTCAAATCTTTCAGCACTTAGTGTGTTCGCAGTCTATAATATAGACATTTACTGCCTTGCCAGTTCGGTGAATAACTAAACACACAGATCAAGACACCTCAGGTTTGGTTTTGTAAGAATATAAGAAATAGGAGTTGGATTGGGCTCCTACACAAAATAAAGTTTACAGTGTTCTAGGTTTCATTAATAGGGCTACAGAGTACAGGAGCAAAGAGGTCATATATTGAGACACACACAAACAGAAATTGAGGGAGAACCACAGTTCTGAAGAAGGGGTCATTAGACCTGGAATGTTAACTCAGTTTCTCTCCACAGATGTTGCCAGACCCGTTGAGTTTCTCCAGCAATTTCTGTTTTTGTGTGTTTGATTTGTAGTTCTTTGTTTTATGTTAAAGGTTATATTGAGCTTGTGTGAGACACCAGTGGAGCAAAAGATGAGGAATTTTCCTGGGACACACACAAGTGCCGGGGGTGGGGGGGGCGGGGTTCATATCTTTTTGCAAAATAATGTAATACTCCTGCTTCATTTTGCCTAAACCTTCAAAAATAACTTTGGAAATTCTTGCGGAAATTCTCTCCTGTTTCATAGCTGCATCCATTCTGTAAAGGAAACCTCAATGAATACATGTATTTCTGCTCTCCAATGAAGCATTCTGATTCTACAGCATGTATAGTGTCTCATTGACATTTCATCCTCTTGTGGCTACATGGTGTTTCATGGTGATTTGCCCAGAAACCCGAAGATCTGTGCCTCCTGGACTATGGAGTTTTATGTTAGTTGGTTCTGACTTTCAGACTTCAAACATGGCAAGCTGTCTGCCTTGAAACAACTGCTCCTATGTCAATTTCAAATTCTGTCTCAAAGCCTTATG